GCATAGCGTAACCAATGTGACCATACAAGCAGAATTAACTAAGATGCTTAAAAATGACAGAGAGCAAACATTTCAGATTAGCCTTTACAAGTCTCATCTTTTAACTAATCCTTTTAAACACAAATAAAGTGACCAGACTTTTTACATACATAAAAATTTTGAAAAACATATCTGAAAAGAAGAGACGTAAAAAGCAGAATGACAAACATGCAAACACAAAAATGACAATGAACAGCAAGTCTGTTGTAAAAATATAACAATGCAACAAATAAGATTTTTTTTTCAATCAGTATTTTTGACAGTGCTAAATGGCTAAACACCTGCACTGATGCAAAGGCCATACAAGACTACAGTTTTTGTACATGACTGTACTCTCCTTTCAACTGACAAAAATCTGAACTCCTTACCAAAAACTTTCTTTAGTATTACTAATGGAAAATGGTAACTTCTAAGTACTTTTCCTGTATCAATTTCATATTTAGTAATAAATGTGTTTTAAGTGCAAAGAAATAACAAGGTTTACCATCACTATAATAAAAGTTAGTACTTTTCATATTTTTTAAAGTACATTTAACCAAGCAGATGCCAGATTAGTTGGCAGTTATTACATGTATTTGTCTTATAGAGCTCCTTCTAAACCTACCTTCATTGTGGCCTCCAAAGCATATTTTTTGTGTTCCTCTTTTGTAGCTTTTTTTGCTTCTGTCTCCTCTTTTGCCTTTTGTTGGGCTTTTAGAACAGCATTCTCTCTTAGATATTGCAGTTGTTCCTTGTCGGCTTAAAAAAAATAAATAAAAACTATTTTAGTCATTTAGGCCTGGAGGTCTAGCGGTATGTATCATATTCATAAAAATAGGATTCCTTCTGCTACTTTGTGTGGGAAAATGCAACATTCTCCAATTCCACAAAATAGTGTTTATCAAGCCCATCTCCAAAGGAGAAAAATTAAGATTTGCTTACACACAAAATATAAGTTTTACAAGAAACATTGTTTTGTTTCCTAAGTGCTAGATTCAATAGATATTCTTTGTTCTCACATACTCTCTATTTTTAATAAAAAGGTTTAACTGAGCAGATATCTACCAGCAAGAGTTTCACACGGCAGTTTGTAAAGTGTTGGCTCAGAACAGGTTTCTTACAGGCAATCTAATTTTCAGAATAGAGAACTTACCATTTTCTAGGCTTAGGGAATCCCACATGGCCGGCTCTTTTTTATACAAAGTGAAGAAAATGTTTCCATTTCCGATCTTTGCTGTGCTATTTGTGTCATCAATAGGAGCATACAAAATAACTTCAAATAAAAAGGGAGGGATGCTTACCTACAAAAATATAATTTGTACTATTTTTATAACTCTCACATATTCAAAACACTCAGCACAAGCACACAGTAAACCTCAAGAAACACATACTATTGACAGAACTAATGTGCTTTGTATCCAGTGTAGAGGTTTGTTCAGGCCCAGGGGAGGTGCTTCCCTCCCCTCCAGGGTGGGTCTTCACAAGGTTATATTTTTATTATTTCAATACATTTCAACCTCTTTATTAAAGAGATTGAAAAACTTGGTTCTTCAGCACTCTGACAGAAGCCATGGACCTCATAATTAGAGTTATTATTCACAGTATAAGCAGATGTGTATAATTCAGTCCATTTATGCGACAGTAAAGGCAGGTGACACCTGTTGAGTAGCAAGAGCATTAGTACAGAGAATGAGCAGGGGTAAAGCCATTATCTGTCGCGGGATGGGCATCCAACAGCCTGCAGGACAGAGAGGGAGATTATAAAGGCTACAAGACCACAAACTGGAGAGCGTTGCCATGGTGTGCGGCGCGTGTGCTCTTCGGCAGAGCTCCGGAGCAACGCGGAGACACAAGGCCCGAGGGGGAGCGGGGCGCGCCGCCCACCTTCAGGTATCGCTCGGAGCAGAAGATGTTGGCGGGGGTGGCCCGGGCGCCGCGCAGGGGCAGCGACAAGAACACAGCGGTGGGGCTCTGGTGCCAGCGGAACTCCCGCAGCCACAGCGGCATCGCCGCCCGCGGGCCCCGGCAGCGCTGCCCTCAGCCGGGCCGGCCCGCGCGGCGCACGCCGGGACATGCAGTCCCGCGGGGCCCCAGGGCTCCGGCCGCCATCGCGCTCACCTGGGCCCAGCAGAGAGGAGAGGAGAGGAGTGCGGCTCTTATAGCCACTGTTACCCAAACAGGCCTCCATGAAGAGACGAACTGCTATTAGTTTAGAATTTCTGGTAAAAAAAAAAAAAACAAACAACCTACTGATTGATTTAGCAATACACAGAGTCATGGGATGGGTCAGGTTGGAAGGGACCCAGTGGGTCATCTGGTCCAACCTCCCTGCTCAGGCAGGGTCATCCCAGAGCACATGGCACAGGATTGTGTCCAGATTGTTCTGGAATATCTCCAGTGAGGGAGATTCCACAGTCTCTCTGGGCAATCTGTTCCAGTGTTTGGTTGCTGCATAAGAAAGAAGTCCTTCCTCATGTTCAGCTCGATCTTCCAGGGCATCAGTTTCTGCCCCTTGCCTCTGGTTCTACTGGTTGACATCACCAAGCAGAGCCTGGCTCCATCCTCTTGACACCCTCCCTTTAGATATTTATACACAGCCTCTTGTTGAGGGTGATCAGGCCCAGATCTCTCAGCATTCCTGTTTAGAGAGATTCTCCAGACTCCTGACCAACTTTGTTGCCTCCTTCTAAACCTGTTCCAGGAGCTCCATGTCTCCTTTGTGCTGAGAAGCCCAGAACTGCACACAGTACTCCCAGTGTGGCCTCACCAGGGCTCAGCACACAGGCAGGATCACTTTCCTCAACCTACTGGCAATGCTGGCACTGAAACTTCCAGATGTCCCCTAAAAATAACTGGGTCATACCAGCAGTTCCACGCTATTGCCTCGCAATGTTGTCTGTTGTACCGTCTGCCAAAAACTCAGGAGGTAGTTTGCACATGCTCCACGTTCCTCAAACAGTAACACTGTATCTGCAAAAATAAAGTTAGTATATAGAAAGTAACTGCTTCTGGGGAATATGGCTTGAAAGACAAGTCAAAACCAGCTAAAAATTCAGGTATGTGGACGTTCTTCAAAAGTATACCATTACATAAAACTTTGGGAAAAATCCAGAACCAAAAAGTCTAGTTTTCCCCTTTCCTTTAAAATATGACCAAGGAAAATGGAGTTTAACATTGCACACATTAGTTAGGATTTCTGATGTGTGTCACCAAAAATTTAATTTTTATATTCTATTATCTATATTTCAAAGCAATGAAAGGGTTGTGGTTACTTCTAAGTACTGTGTATATCTATATCTATAGATATATAAAAGTAGGTATTTAAAACTTTTTCAGAGCAAGAAATCCAACGTAAGTGATATGATTTCTGGGTTATTCTCCACTCTCACTCACCCACATCAGTATCATCTGGATGAATGCTTGCACGGACTGGAATCTGAGAAGTGAATCAAGTTCCTCATTTTAAGAGTATTCAAAATATATAGCAGCATTGCCTAGAATTGTTAGAATGCAACAGTAACTCCAAATCTCCTACCACTCCAGAATGCAGCTGTAGTCATCCAGAACACATCCCTCAGTTATGGAGAGTTCATTCCTGGACTTACATTTTTTGAGTGCTGGTCTTCTGCCTTGGTCACCCAGGTGTTATTTTTTGTTTAATCAAAGAGAATATACTGAAATAAAGCAGCTTATTATTTATCCTGCTAGAAAGACTATACTATTCATACATTCTTTACAAGATGGGACACAGTTATGATTACCAGTATTTGGTCTTAAGTTACACTAAAGAGCTCCAATACAGCAATAAAAAGTCTATTTACTTAAAAGCTACATCTCCAATGCAAAGCTTGTAGAAGACACAGTAAATACCACTAACACATTTTTATGTCAAAGTAGCAGATTTATCTGCTAACGACACAAAAGGGACTCAGCCATGTCTTGAATCAGCATTAAAAGTCTTGTGTTGATGTGTATCTGCAGAAACACCACCTCTATCCCACACACTCCACACTGCAGGCTTACCTGGACAAATGGCTGCGCTCTTATCACGACACACAAATAACATAAATGCAAAATTAACATTCATAATCGATCTCCTGTTGGCATTAACTTTATCAGTCAAAAGTTTGTAGTAAAAAGTTTCCAGTGCAAGAAACTTTGTGGTGAAAAGAAAAATTATTCTGTTAAAAACCTAATTCCTAAATTCCCATCTCCTATGCTATGAAGGATAGAGATGTACATTCCAGACAAATCTTAATAATATTAGTAATATTCTGAACCTTCCAGCTGCTAATACACACATCCATCTTTTCCAGGGTTATTTCACTTCTAATGGCTTCAGAGGCTTTAATATATGGGGGGGACCCCTTTAAATATCTTACATTTTCTTATCTTTATTAACCTTTTTTCCTCCCATCCTTTCTAATTTCTTTCTCATTTCTATTATTCCCCCATATCTTTCACACAGAGAAGGAACATTTTATGAGACTGTTTATTACAATAAAATGTTTTCCATATGTAGCTTGGGACCACCTGTATCAGTTGCTTTTAAATATCATTGGCAAGGCAGTGATTTGGTATGTGTTTGTTCTGGCATTTTAACTAACAGGAAGATCTTTCTAATAATTTTATAAATTGGAATAAATAATTATTTGATTAATCTCTTCCCAGGAGCAGAAAATTATTTTTAAAAAATAAATAGATTCAGAAAAATGGTGCTCAAGCCTTCCCTCCCATCCTATAAAGAAAGAAATGGGGCTGAAGGTGCAAGACCTCTTCTAATCTGCTTTGAAGTTACTTCAGATTAACACCTTTACAGAACAGCAGAGCTCTCCCAGAGAGGGAGGAACTGTCTTTTCTGATCACTATGACCTCATACTGTTTCTTGCAGGATTACAACTAATCCAAATGCATTCTCCCAGGTAAAACAGTAGCAGAGTCAATCTAGGCATTACGTCATCTTCATAAAATCAACTGGCAACTTCCCCGCAAAAATTATCTTTATTTTAAAAGGAACCGAAACCAGACAACAGAAAGCAACAAAGTTACATACAGTGCCAGACAAAAACTACCATATACATTTTCCAAGAACACTTGAATCAGATTCTGATATATGTTCTTCTGAAAGGTAAAAATGTCACATCATCATTAACAAACTAACAAAAAAATTAAATGTCAGCACTCTTAATCATCTTATAGTTTGCATTGTTTGGATGGCAGTAGATTGGTAACTTGCCTTTTTCAACTCACCTTTGAGACTGAAAGGAGAATGTGGACAAAAATTTCAAGTCAGAAGGCCCTGAAGAACACAGTATTTGCTCTAAAGGCCACATAAAAAAGCTTGGAGGAAAGGCCATCTTTTAAACAAAAATCCCTAACAAACTCTCTTATTTCACGCTTCACCAAAAAAAACTATCAAAAAAGGAGAAAAAAAGAGGAAATACATTAAAAGCTTGCCCTCCTTAAGCTATATGGAAGTTCAGATTTAGAGCATCCTGTAGAGCAGAAGATGAGCGTCTAGGAACAGACATGACATCTCTCAGGCTTCCAATCCCAAACTGCCTCCAGTACAGCAATTCCTGAAATACAGTGCACAAATCTCCAAGTAAAAAGGTGGGGTAGGATCAAAAACTACTTTGAGACAGACAGTTTGTTTGAAGATGAAAAGGAAAATTAATCATGTATGGCAAACAATACAGAAATAGGTATTCCCAAGGTGTTGGGATAAGCCATTTCTAAACCAGGAGACTAAGGGCAACACTGAAGACTTTGAGTTATAGGCAGCACCTCCAAGGGGCTGAACACCATTCAGAATTAATTACCTCAGAACTGATGACACACAACACTAGGCCACTAAAGGGACCCTTTTTTATATATAAAGCAAGAAATTCAGAGGAGCTCCATATAAAGAAGTGAATATGCATAACTCAAGATGTAGTGTAGGATAATTATATTGCCTTAAAGAATTCTGCTAAGTACACTTAGTTTCCAATTTTAAGGAAGAATCTATTCTAATATAGAAAGCTTTAGACAAAACTTAGCAATTGCAGAATAACTTGAAAATACATCCAGTTCTACACCCTCCTGTATATATTTAATCACATCCAATAGATTAAAAAATTATGTTTTGTAAACCAAGTAAAGAGTGTTAGAGTTGAATTTTCACACCCATGAGCTGATTACCAAATGTTCACCCATTTGTCAGTGGATAATATTAAAAAAATTCATACTAACAGTTATGGCAACAAGATGACAATGCACACCAGTGCTGTGTGTTCTGAAAGGTACTTAGTTTTAGTTATCATGAATTGCTACCACCTATCATACCTCATTCTATGCAAGATACCACACCAGCTACCAATCCATAAACAATAATGTTTCACATACTTCATAGAGTAGCTTAAAACACATCATGGTATGAAATAATTTGTATTACATAGTAATTTAATCCCTGGCCACAGGGCTAATGTTGGACAAAGTCTGGAAACTTTTCCAATTTGAATTACATACATTAACTTTGCCACACACCACAGCACTAATGCATGTATTACATCAGACATGCTCTAATTTAAAATCAAAACAAAAAAGTTGTTGCAAAAATACATGTCACCAATGTGGAACACATTCAAGATTGTATAAAAAGTACTGAACTGATATCCCAAAACAGGTATATTTAAGCAGTACATAAGGAAAGATTAGTTTTAATATGAAACAGTCATTTAAGTCACATACAACATGAAAAGAAGCATGACTTCCTTTTTTAAAAATGTTACACCAATACTTTTACTGCCAGGCAATGTTTATTTATAAAATGAAAGGGATGTACCTAATGCAGATAATGTGTTATCGTATCAAGTTGGAATAAAGTCAAATGTTAAAAAGGTGCTACATATGAACACCACTGATTTTGTAAAAAATCTCAAACCATAGAAGCATTTCACTTGCAAATATCACAGGCCTCAAACTGCAAACACTTTGAAACATTCTTGACTGTGTGCATGCAGTTCCACCAACGTCATTAATTCTCACATGCTTGAAATTAAGCTGAAAAATGTGATTACAAAACTGGTTCTTAGATTAAAAACTTCAGAGGTCACAAAGTATAATCTTCTTTGAGCAGCCCTAAAATTTATATTTTTAAGTAGAGCAAACTTCATTACTTTTCTCTAGTTTCTTGCATCTGAAGATCTCAGATAATAACTAGGCCTCTAAACAACCTCGGGAAGTAAGGATTAATCCAATCTGCTGAAAGAGGAGGCATGCTTAACCTGCTTGTCTCGAGCTGCAGAAGGGATCAGTAAAACAGCAAGAAACAGGATTTTTGGTGTCTTGTGTACAGCACTGACACTTACCCTGACCAATAAAACAAGTGTTTTAAAGAGAAAAGCACGTTTTCTCATTTACAAATGATCACCAGCGAAAAACCCCAAAGTATTAAGGACAGTACAGTCCAGTTTATACCTATTTATTTCAGCCCAGGGGAAAACAAAACAACAAAAGCATTTTGGGCAATAAAGGCTGCATTTCTGACCATGACAAGTTAAAAGGGACATGGGCACTTCCCATAAAAATGTTAAGGTTTGCAAGACATACAAAATCTTCGCAATATTTTTGGTGTGCAGCACCGGTACAGTCTAAATTACTAGTAATGAAAGAAGCACATGATAGCTCAATACAAATTGTTTCATGTAGAATATTACAAAACCCCTCACCTACTCTAGTCAGCCCTCCCTCCCTCCCACCCACCTTTCTATAACTAACTTCTAATTCTAAGCAGCTGTCATTTTCCTAGGACCTTACTAATAAAACATGATTGCTGTTTTTCCTGTGCATACTTGAACTACTACTAGTCAATACATGCAGAGAAAAACAAAATATAACCCTCTCTCTAGATAAAGAGTTCAAGTATGCCAAGAGTGTATCAGTAGGGCAAGCATATCAGCTGGATGACTTTTGGAGATCTTCATCTGTCATATCTCTACGATCAGTGTGCTAACAAGTTTGGGTTTTGTTGTTCACTTGGTTTTATTTGATATAATTGACATTTGCTAATGCCTTGAATTTGTAGGTTAATGAATGCAGAAAAGGTACTGGGTTACAAACCCAACATAGTATCAGTTTGGAAAAACCAAAATAAATTGTTAGAATAAGTTTCACAAATACACAATTAAAGGTCTTATAGAATGATATTCCAGTTGACTTTAGGTTTCTAAGGACACTAATGCCTTGACAGCTAATCTAGAAAATACTTGCCTAACTTCATGTAGGGTCAATGAAGAAATTAAGGAATATATGGCTATTTTAAATAAAATGTCTGCTCCGAAATCTTAAATCATTAATTCGACTTCTGAGAAAAAAATGCCCCCAAAATCTTCTCACAACAGGCAAGGGGTGTGGGAGTGGGAAAGGTAATAATATCATCATTGGTTTTGTTGGAATTTTCACTGAGCACATTTTTTATTTCATTCATGTTGCTGTAGGTGTGAACCAGCTCCACTACTTTCACAGTGCAAATTGTTGCAGAGATTAAACTGATTCCCAGAGGAACAAATCTATCTAAACAAGGTTTGGTTTAATTGCTACTTTAGTACCAAAAGCAAATTCTAACAGTCTGTCAGTCATTAGGAAACCTACTGAAGAATAAATCTCTTTAACAGAAGTTGTTGCTTGGTTGGTTTGTTCTTTGTTTTTAAATATCACACCTCCAACAAAACAAGATTAAGTCTGGTTTCTGTACTAAATTAAAGCAACTGGTGATGAAAACAGAAGCCCTTGATCTGCCTTACACTTTCTTTTACATCTCCATACAGGAAATCCTCAAGATTTGAAACATGTCATTTACACTTGAGACATTATTTTCTTTTTCCTGATGAGAGGCAAGACAAAAAAAGGGGGCAATACCGCACTTACCCAGCAAAATTTTTCACTTTTAAAATATAACAAGAAAAGTTATGCAGGTCTGCACAGTATCTTCCAGGAATGTACCACAGTAGAGCCCATTTAAAATCAAACACAATGGTGAATTAGCAAACAGGCCTTACTTTTCACTCATTAGCATAGCTTATCTTAAAAACTACCTCTTTACTTAGAAGGCTGTATTCTATATCAGCTCCTACATCACTCATCCTCACAGACCTGAAAAATTTATCACGTTAAGGAACGTGACTGGCATCTGTAAACTTGACATATGATTTAATTCCTGTTTAAAGACTAAGTTTCCAGCACACTGGTGAGTATTATAAGCAGAGTCTGTTATTGCAGTGCCTCCTTTTATTAAGTCAAAACAACACTTCTCCCTAAAGAAACACTTCTTCGGTTGCATATGCAACTTTATCACACTAGGGCTGAACTGTTCAAGGCTAGATGTTTCCCCACATGAAAAAGAAAAAAAAAGGAGAGTTATTTTTGAGATCAAGAATAAGATCAAATTACCCATATTAAAATAGAATTCCTAGCATCACACAGAAGCTCTAGTGCCACTCATACTTGTCAGTAGGATATCAGGTTTAGCAAAGAAGCTTAAACTTCTCATTACTTCTGAGCTAAACTCACCTGATATGAAAGCTGTGTTTTTTTTCTTCACCCTAGATTTCCCACCCCCTCACTGCAAGACTGGCTGAGGCAGTGGTGGGGATTTAGTTTTAAGACTCTGCTGGCCAAATTATCATGCCATTCAGAGCCTGTGCAGAGCACACTCCATTGCCTTGCACCCTCCTTCACGCCAAGTGGACTGCGTAAGCTCAGGGTGACTGAGCAGGTTCTAGCTGAGAGCCCTGGAAGACAGGCAGGATTTTCCATGCACTAGTTCATTCACAATTCTTAGGCAGCACTGAGGCAGGAGACTGGAACCATCAGTGAGAAAGGATGAGAGAGAGGTGCATAACTGCACAACCGTGACACACACAGACACTGTATCCTAATGGATGTGCTCAAGATAAATGAGTTAAGGTTACATATGCAACCCCAGTTTTGGCATTCTCTAGATTTAAAGCACTGGATTTCATAAATTTGATCTGTTCTTCTTCCAATTTAGTCATATTTCATAACTATTTCCAAATATTGCAAGACCCAGCAAGAGCCTTCAGCAAGTGTTTGCTGAGAAGTCAAAAGAGATTATTGCCTTTTCAAGGAAATAGAAATGTGTAAGAGTTAGCGAGTTTCATTGTGTTACTAATTATGAATTCATCGATTTCTGAATAGCATGTTAATGCTTTACTTCAAAAAATAGGAAAAAGCACATACAAAATTCTCTGTATTTACCCTAAAATAACAACTATTAGTACTGCACATTCCTCCATGTCATCTCCACTATATTCAAAGAAAGGCTAGCAAGAACATCACCAGACATTCACCCCCCAAAAAAAAACCAAAGTAATGAGTACTTGCAAATATAGTACCATTAAAACTGAGCACTAAATGCTAGTGTTAGTTAACACATTAATACTAGCAAATTAGGGCTATTCATACAGGCACATTTTTTCCTTCAATAAAATTGTCAATGCACATCCTACTTCTGATCAATTGTCAGTTACAGCTTAATCAGAAACAAAAAATATTCCATCCTGTAAAACATTTGCACACATAAAAATAAGAATCCAAAAGCTGAGATGGAACTTTATGAATGAAAAGAGATTAGGGGAAAAAATAAGACAACAGCAATCAAACACAACTGATTGTCTGCAGAAAGTGAAGTACCCAATTTGTAACCAAAACTTCATAAAACGTATTTCATCCACCACCACCACCTGAGGCTGTCAGCCTTCTGTGTTCAGTGCAGGTGGTCCTGCAGTCTCTCTCGTGCGCATCAACTGGACATCTTTGTCAGCCATGCAAGTATCACAGCCCCAGACTGCCGATGCCTCTGCTGTGAGGAGGCCGTACGCCGACTCTGTCATGCCTGTGCAGATCCGATGAAACCATTTCTGACAAGAGGCTTCACACAGGATGGCATCCTGGTCATCATTGACTTCGTGGGTACAGATCCCACATGGGTAGACAGGTTCAGAGGACGAGTGACCATGACGAGTGGGATGAAGGGGTGTTTTGCTGCTCTTTTCAGAGTTGCATCCTTCAGCAGCGCCTCGGGGCTGGCGAGACTTACTCTGAGTCCCATTGGAATGCCCAGCATTGGTGTTATCAGCACTGTTGGAATGGCTATTATCCTGATTTACCACATTGTTTCGAGTAACATTTTTTAGGTCACTGTTACCTTGACTCACAATGTCCTCTGTCCTGTGATGATGCTGATGAGCAGCAGTGTTCTGGCTGGATGCTTTGCTTGCACCTTGATTAAAGTCTTGCTTCTGTGCTGAAGATTTTGTCTGGTTGTACGTGTTCGGTGGAGGAACAAAAGAATGGTTTGACTCTAGCTGAGAATTTGGAAAATTTGGATTGTTTCCAGGACCAAAATTAGACGGCACGTCAGGGTGAGGTATCTGACCAGAATGGCCAAAGTTCTCCCCAGGATTTGGCCTGAAATGCTGAGGAGGCATACTGACATTTTGATTTATCTGACCACCACTATAGGGGGGCTGATTCCCAAAACCTGGGTTATCATGCGGACCAAAGCTGAAAGAGTGAGGTCGACTGAAACCCATGCCCACAGGGTTTTGAGGAAGAGGATGTGGTTGGTTTCTGAGGGAGTAAGAACCACCATATGGCGAGGACACTCTGGGTAGCATGTGAGGTGGCATTCTGAAAGTGTTATAGCCTCCAAAGCCAGGATAACCAGGATTACTAAAATATGGATTTCCTGAAGGAAGAGGTTTATAAGACACAGTATTATAGTTGTCATCAAATGGATTTGCAGCTACAAGGTGGTCAGAGCTTGGATTCGGCGGTGGAGCATATTCAGATGGAGGAGGAAATGATGATCCCTACAAATATTTTAAATACAACATTTAAATTAGTTTTAGTATTTCCCTGCAAGACAGACCAACCACAAAGGTCCTGGATTACCAGTACTACTGCTGAAAGAACTGTTCAGCTGTTGTGTAAAACTCACCCACTGTATCCTGCCAGGCTGTCTGAAATTTCAGTACAGAGGCAAGAGAGTCTGTGCTCCAGATAATACGATGATTTATAGCAGTATCAGTGTTTTAAAAATTTTGCAGTTGCACAATCGTGCTTCTGAAAATACTACTTGATATGGGACTTCTATTTCTTAATCTTTTACGAAAGACAAGCAACAATACAGAAAGCCAACTGACACAAACACATGGAAAAAGTATTTCCAAATGTTGAAGCATTTCCTTAGTCTCAGTTTGGGTTGATGTTACTGAATATACATCTCTTAAGACACCCTACTTCTATGAGAATATAAACCTAGTGTTACTATAACCCTAAAAAAAGGCATATAGAATACAGCAATTTTCTATATTCTGCAGAATATTCTACACTCTGTAGATTTCTATACCAAAAAGAGGCATCCCTTATGAGCATTCAGTGATTGTGGACAGTCTGCAAAGCATAGGCAGTAGGCATAAAATGCCTATACTCTAGTTACAGAGTTTAACAGAGCCCAGAAGTGTTTAAATGCCACCAAAGTGGCTATACAATTGAAATTCATCCTAGACTAGCCTGTAGGGAAACTACTGGGTTCACCCTACACTAACTGTGCTCACAGAAGGCATTTCCTCCTAAGTACTACAAAACTAAGACTGAGCATTTGTTTAAAAAAAATAAAATAAAATTTTGAACCAGGTAAGAAAAAAAGCTAGTCTGCATAGCCTCTGTAGTTATCACCATTCCTGAACACAAGGTAAGCTCCACCAAGAGAGAGGTTTGAAGCCTTTCAGAGTAACTGAATATTTCTCAGAGCAGGTTTCACCATAACTACTTTAGAACCAAACAAAAATTAAGAAAACAGATCCACACCTCAGTGGACTGTGGATAGGCCTAACAGAAAGTGATTGTTTGACCTACATAAGTAAGGTTACTCTCACTGGGCAGTACCAAACTAACAGATACTCTCACTCAAAGCTGAATGAACACACAATGGGAAATTCTGCACTAAGGTATCAACCTGCTTAAGAGATTTTGTATTCAGGTTTTCTTTTCTAGAAAGAAAAACTCCATAGAAATGTCAAATTGCAGGGATTCACTGAAAAGGAGCTGTATTGGCCTCACAGCTTTGGCTTGAAAATAACTTCAGGAGTATGCCAAGAATTTGGTCAAAGCATTAACAAACTGTTCTGATTCATTAGCCCACAGACTTACACATAATGAAATGAAAGTAAGGAGAGAATTAGTCTCATGGCAACTACTCATGCTGTACAGACTTCTACAAATGGCTACAAAGTCATTAAAAAAAAGTCTGTCTCAGAATGAAATCCATATGGTAAAAATACAAGTCGCTGCAGTCTCTCTGTGCTCCTCTCTACATAGGTCTATGGCAACCTACAGAGATTAAAATAACTCTAGTGCAAATAACTAGTATTAGGAAGACTTCAACTTCATGGTAAAACTGGAATATTTTGTGCACAGCTGCTACTTGTGACAACAGATACTCTGAACAATGCGAGACAGTCACACCAGCAAACAACATCTGAGTGCTCTATTTACTAAGAAATCAAAAGAGAATTTACCTGTGTATTTGCTTTGCGTTTTTTCTTATCAGGGCTTCCAAGTTGAACTCCTGGTCCTCCTAACCCATCCAATCCACTGTCACCACCTACAAAATTTCAATCAGTGCAATAGTGCATTAGTTTTCTTACAGACCATGTTGCATGTTTGCCTCTGATTGCCACGGCCACAGATATCTGTTACGAATACTGAACTTGCATTAACTCTGGGGCCTTGCATTGCAAGTCCTTAAGGAGCAAACATCTGGAGGTAAGGTAACATGCCTCCTGTGTGCTGTCTTACCCTACTCCCACTTTAACATCCAATTCGTGCTCATCACCATTGGAATAAACATTTCCATTTATTTTATGTTTATCTGTTCCTTGGTTCTTAACAACTCCACTTTAACAGTTAGAAGTATTTCTTGTTTGTGTAACTCATAAAACTTTCAAAGGAACTGTATTAAGCCATGCCTAAGATTCACCTCTTATTTAACTTACACAGACACAGCATTTATCAAACTCACTGTGGCAATACACAACCGTGTGTTACAATCCACCGTGAAGGAAAAGCAAACAGGAGTAGATTCATAAACAAAAACCACTGAAAAGCTTCCGCGTTGTTTAGACAGATCTTCAGTTTATCAGATCTAAATTTCACTAAATGCAAGACTTGATCCAACAAAAAGACACCTGCCAAAAATGAGAGGGGCTCTAAGTGAACCTGCTCTACTCTGCAGAAACCTCACAGAATAACTGAGCAAGGCTCTGGCACAAAAAGAAGTAAAGAATGTTCATTTCATTGGTCACTCAATCAGACTTTACCCTGAGCAGCACAAAGAGAGATCTGTATTTCACCTGGGATTCTTCTTCACCTTTCATAACAGCAGGACAAGCTCTCTAAGTTGCATAAGTCTTTCATTTTTAAAGCCCTAGTTAGACCAATGGGAAAAAAAAAAAAAAAAAAAAAAAAAAAAAAAAAAAAAAAAAAAAAAAAAAAAAAAAAAACCTAGCACATTCATTATCCCAGTCAGTCTGTCTTGATGGGGCTCAAGTGAAATTGCCATCGTATGAGAATGCAACGAAAACCCTGAAGTACAAAAAGCATTATCCGGTGATATGACATATGTAACACATGTTATAGTAACAACATCATTACATTAACAAACTATGTTAATTCTTTTTTTTTTTCCAGGGCCATTAATATAATAGTTTATTTGCTCTTTTATATATAGTAACAGTATAGAACAATAAGCAGGCAATCCAACTTAAAAATCTTACTGTTTTTTGATTAAAACTCACATTCAGAATACAAGTAAAACTTTATCAAGATGCAAGCACACAGCTGAACACACAAGTCTTTATTACCAAAAGCAACCTGAAGATAACTGTGAATTACCAACAGAATTATGCAAAGCAGCATATGACATTACACTGCTCTGTTAGACAAGTGTTCCCAGCAGACAGGTAAACCAGCTTTAGGACTATTCAGTAAGTAACAAAAAAATCTCTTCTCACAGGGGCAAGCCAGACTTACTGAATACAGAATGAAATATCCAGCAGTTATTTCAAATACTCCTGATCAAAGGAGACCTGGCAAATTTTTACTCCTTGCATTTCCTTTCTCCCTGCCTCCTTTTTTTTTTTGAGGTTTCAGGGAATTTGCCAGTTCTACCTCAAGTCACAATCCAGCTTTAGCTGTCATTGTGGAAATTTAATTTCATTTTTCATTATACCTAAGGAAGATATATGGACACCCCAGATCAACACCCATCAAATTTTAAGTTTGAATTTCAAAGACAAGGGCATGAAGTCACGATCAGGTTCTCAAAATAAACTCACACTTGCACATAGCATATTGTGGTCTAACCTACCATCAGAGAAACTAGGGATTACTCTTTCTAAGAGTCCTTTTTGCCTTGTTTTAGATTATAAAATCCTGCATATACTTAGTGTGCTATGACAGATTGCCCCTGCATTAGCTGTAGCTATTAAATAATTATAGCACAAAGGTTTACATGAAGAATGATGGCAAATTTCCCCTAAATTTCAACTCTATAAGTCATCTTAATGATAATCTACTTTCTCAAAACTGTCCCTGCACTTTCCTTAAGCTTCTTCTGCAGCATTCATGTAAGTTTACACTAAATTCAGTGCAAGATTGCACTGTGAACACCAATCCTCACAACTATATAAAACACACTCCTGTTTGTGGCCCTGCACTCTTAATGCACCAATGACTTCAACCACTGTTAGCAAAATATTACAAATATCCAGATTTCTTTTAATAAATTCAACAACTAGCAGCATAGACATTAGTAAATCTGTGATCAAGTAGAATACAAATGCTGGTTTACAGTAGCATAAGTTAAAACTTCATAAAATTATGTATAAATTCCATCTCAGGGATATCATTCTTCAAAAACACAAGTATATGAATATTAGAATTCTAGTGACAAGTTCCATCAACTTCTACCTGAATTACTTACATGGGTGAAGCCATTCACTTGCCTAGGTTTACAGAAGTGAGTCCTGCATCTGGAAAGGCACAAAGCTTTTGTATTTTCAGTTCTCACTACGTGAGGCCAGTGATTTGATTCATCCCTAAGAATTTATATTTTCCCTGTGGATTTGCTAATGATTTAATTTATACATGAAAGGAAACAGAATGTTAGTCCTAGCACACCTCCAAAAAAGAGTGAATAAGGCTCATTTTCATGCAGCCAAAATAAACTTTCCACCGTCACTTTTGGTACCTACCACATAGACTTTCATTAAAGGTGTACTCAGCATTTTGGAATACTGCACAAATGAGAAATTATTTCATTGTACAACACTAGTTTTTCAGGCAAAAATACAATCCTTTTGACTGGGACATCAAATATCTAATCGATCTAGAGATACAAATACGTATCTGATAATTACTCCCTTATTAAACTACAGATCGAATTTATTTCAGCCATTCACATTTGGGCAAAGGAGAAAAGATAAACCCTGCATTCTTTTTTACTTCATACATGCATAAGATGGACATCTTCAGTGTTAGGCAGAACTGAAACTTGTAGTTCTGTTTACATACTAAGAGTTTATGACTTTGCATGTTATTTATGCCATACTTAACATCCTGCAAATACACTATGGAGTATTTTCATACTCACTGACAAATCTCTGTCTAGGTTTCTACAGGATGGATGCCACGGGCTTTTTAAACAGTGATTTATCTCAGTAAGAACGTTGTCCCAAGAAACGTAAATGGCTAAATAAACTTTCCATGATGGACAGAGAAACTAAAAGTAGTCTAATTTCACCCAGATTTGGTGAGTCTATGCTGTGGCCCCGACACTGTAAACAGAGTTGATATTAAGCAGTAATCGCGTGGAACTTGGTGGGTAACTCAGGCACGTGAAACCATATATGCTTAAATATTTGCAGAATCAGGGCTTGAGAGTGGAGGAGTCTAATGAATGCCAGTCTCCTTTGCAACGCTGTTGTGTGTTTTCGTTCTCTCAAGGTTGCAATCCAGCTGCTACTAGAACAGTTTTAGAAAAGCAAACTGTAAATCAGTGACAATGTGCATATCGGAATCTGCACCTTTCTCCACTTATTCAACCGGGAAAAAAGCTTAAAACATCAGGAACAATAGAATGCCAGAGGCAAAAGAGGAGGCGAGAAAAAGAGAAGCACTAAATCGCAGATTTTATAATTTTGCCATGATTTTCCCCCAACTCAGTCACTCAGCTCGCCGCCTTTCGTTATTTTATTCAGAAAAGCATTTCTGTTTTTAAGGGCTATAAGGACACAACTACCGCCACGCAGGCTTGATGTGCCACTGCCATTAAAGTCGGCTGCACTGCCGAACTCGGAGGAGACGCCGCATTTCTACCCTTCGCCCTACACCTTTCAAAGAAACGCACCAGTCCAAAGCTCACCAGAGCCACAAACCGGTGCTATTAATAAAAGATAGTATTTCGATAATTGTTTTCATTTCCCGAAAAAGGGAAAGACAAAACCCCAACCAGACTCAAGCACAAGAGCCGAGACCGCGGGTAGAAGAGCGAACACTCAAGTGTAATTTATGGGCTCTGCATCAGCACGAACTCGGACATGTGGCACCGCCGCCGTATTCCCTTGCACCAGCAGTATGCTCGCTGCATACTAATGCGCCGCACATCCCCAGACACAGCGGAGCCAGGACCGCACGGTCCCCCCCCGCCCCACGGGACACACCTGCGCGCACCGCCAGCACCGCCGCCGCTTTTCCAGGCCCGGCGGCTGCGGGAGCCCGCGGGGCCCGGCCGGGCCCCACCGAGCAAACTTCTCGCGGCCCCCGCGCCGCCGGCCCCGCCGCCAGCGCCAGGAGGGAGCGCGGTGGGGGCGGCCCGGCCGGGGCTGCGCGGCGGGAGCCCCGCGGGCAGCGGCGGCGCGGGCGGTGCGCGCATCCCGCGGCTTGGCCGCCGCTCCGCACGGGAGCCAGGCCCCGCCGGCGGCGGCCCCCGGGCCCGGCCCGGTCCTCCCTGTACCTCGGGATCTCTTCAGCGCGATGGGGTCCTTCTCCTGTTCCGCTGACATTACAGACAGCAGCGCATGGCTCCCAGGGCGGCAGGAATCGGGGCTCTTTGATGCTGCTGCCGCCGCCGCCGCCGGCCCGCACCCCGCCCCCTCCGCCCCCGCCTCCTCCGCCGCCGCCCCCGCCCGCCGCTGCCGTAGCCGCCGCCGCCCCAGCAGCGGAGCTGCGAGACTTTGCAAAGTTTGGGCGCGGGAGGGCTCCGCGGCCGCCCGCGGCGGGGTCCGGACCAGGCGGGGTCCGGCGAGCGGAGCGGCGCCGCCCGGGGGTCCGCGGAGCGCCGAGCCGCGCCGGGCAGGGCCCCCGCGGGCTGCGGGCGCCCGCCCCGCCCGGCCCCCTCCGCCGGGGCTGCCGGGCCCCGCGCAGCGCCCCCGCCGGACACGGGCGCCGCTCAGCGCGCCGAGCCCCGGCAGCCGCTGCCCGCGGGCTCCCGGGCGGGCAGGACGGGCAGCGCCTGCGGGGCTCCCCGCGCCCCCGCCATGAACGCGGCGGGACCGCTGGCCCCGGCCGCGCCGCCGCTCCGAACAAAGGCGCCGCGCCGGGGCGGCTCCACCCGCGCCGCCACCCTCCGCTCCGCCACTGCCGGGGGTCGGTCCGGCCGCGGGGCTCCCCCGAGGCGGGAGCGGGTCAGGGACCGCCTCGCGCCGGGGCCGCTGTGAGGGGAGTCAGTGCCCAGGAGCGGGTCTGGGCCGCGCTCCGGGGCCGTCAGGGGTTCCGCGGCTCGGCACGTGCCTCACGCCTGCTTCCCGCCTCCGGGCTGCGGCTCCAGGGCCTCCCGGTCCACGCGGGATATTTCCTGAGGGACTGGAGCACCGCGCTCCAGCGGCTCCCGGGGGCCGCACAGGTGTCACCCGCCCGCCGGGTCTCTGGCCTGAGGGTACGACACAACCCACTGGGCCCGGCTGGTGCCCTCGCAGTGTTGGCGAACCCTTGAAAAACACAGTTTTCCGTCTTTTGAAGTGGCTGCGGTTCAGAGATGTTACATACGGAGTTCTTGATCTAGATCAAAACTGTTAATCGACTGTATTTAAAATATCTTTTGAATACGGATTTATCCCCCCTTAACTGGGATAAAAATGCCCAGCTGTGCAGGATGGGGTTTGCTCACGTGCCTGACTTCACAATACCCAGCAGTGCTATTTCTTTATATACTTCTTGTTAGGGGGATAGTTGGTACTTTTCCAATACTTGGAACACTTTCGCTGGAGCGAAAAGTAATGTTTGTGTACAGGTCAAGGTATTGGTACGACTATGTTTGTACTTTTACATGTCTAACTAAATAAAGTAGAGAAAGTAATTCAATTTATGTCGATTTCAGTGCTTCCCTAGACACCATTTTTATTTGTCCACAGTCTCTCACTTTGCAACGATCCCAGAACGCGCGTACCTCGAAGTACGGCGTACTGGCAGTGTCCTCATGGGATCTGCTGCTTAATTTTGTGTAATCTTACTGAAGAGAAGTATAGCCTGTTATTAGCAGGGTGGGTGTGAGCTCATCTATATTTGGAGGGAGATGTGCCTTATCTGCAAAGAGATTTGCATTTTCTGTGCCGAAGCTTGCTGCAGGCCTGGCTGATTCTCCCAGGGCTGCACGAGCTCCGTGCACGGCTGCCGTGTAATGGCATGTAGACTGTAATTATGGATGCGCAGATTGATGTCACTGAGTCTATAAAGGTTCCTACGGGGAGATTGTCTGCATCAGAAATGGGAGCTGGGAATTCAGATTTAACCCAGTGCTCTAGTTGCAAAAAAATTATGTCTGTTTTGCTGTTCAGCCAAATTCAGCCTTAACTTGCACTCAGGTCTTTTGTGAGCAGTCTGAGAATCCTGTTGGATCAACTTCATACTTCTAAACCCTCATTGGAAATAGCTGATGCAGTGTCTGAAAGGAACTTAGTCACTGGCTCAGGTGCCTACACCAGCATCTCAAATATTCCCCAAAAGTCTATGGAAGTTCTCATTATGACACACTGTTCACCACCTGATAAGCCTCACTGCTCATTCATTGTCCTTAAAATTACTCCTCTTCCTCTCAAAAGCTGGCATTCATTAAAAAAGCTTAGGGGTAGCTAGTAGCAACCTTCCAACACTTTAATGGAAGTTACCAAGGAAAGAGAGACAAAGCTGTTAACAGAGGAGTGTGACAGAAAAATGAGACAATTTCAAATGAACTTCCAACTGGCTGGGGGTGGGGGGTAGGTATTTTTCTGAGGCTAAGCAAGCTTTGGGACAGGAAATGAAATAATTTGTATAACTCCATCCTGGGAGGTTTTCAAGACCCAACTGGGCAAAACTCAGAAGAGCCTGGCCGAAGTTCAGTGCTAACCTAGCTTTATGCAGGAGGCTGGACTCAAAGTCAAGACTTCCAAGGTCCTCTGAACTCTAATGATTCTTTCATTCTGAAATAATTTTCTTCTTTTTAACAACCACACAGAAAGCTCTTCTTCCCTGCCAGTTGTGAATACTGTTGTTCAGTATTTCAGAACTCAGCCTGACTGTGAAAAGGGTGGCTTTGGTGAGATAACAGTAACTTCAACCAAGTGACTCAGACCTACAAATGTTATTAAGTATAGAGCAGCTGGTCTGATAACTTCCAGGTTCTTTTCCTTCTGAATTCAGGTTGAAAAGAAGGCTATTGAAAGAGTCTTTCTGTACAAACTACCAGAAGGTAAAGGAAGTTTTTTTACCAATTGTTGTCATGGCATCTGAACATTCAACATCGCCTTACAGTTTCAGGAGAGAAATGTCAATGAGACATGGATGCACAATAGAGCATTAACATTTAAAGGGTTTTTATTGCATCTTCTCACATGTATCTACTGCATATCTCAGGAGCAGAGACTAGCAGAGCATAGAAGCCCATTTTGACAACATATGATTGTATGCAAATGTGCTAATGGAAAAAATATAGACACCTCAGAGAAATTTACTGATGTTTATAGAATTTAGAAAAGGAAAAAATGAAAATATTCTTTTCTGTTTGAATTTACAGGGGCCAAGACATCATCTCAAAGGAATAAAATTAGGAAAGAAAAAAAAAGCAACCATAACATCAGAATGGAAAAAAGTCAGAAACTGGCTGAAATGTGTAACTCTGCCTCTTCCAGTACCAGGGGAAAATACAGAAGCCATATATGTTCTAAAATATGTAAGCCATATATGTTCTAAAATAAAGCACACAGAGCTTTACTGTTGGTTTTCAACTCATTGCAGGAGATTTCCTACATAGCAAGACAGAAACAGCCCCCTGTGCAATGGACACAGACCTGGGAGTCCAGCAGGATCCTGCAGAAGGGCAGTGCCAAGGTATGGCATCCAGCACCACCTGTGCAGGTTTTCTGGCATATGGACCCAGAAGTTGAGGAGCCAGTAGTGTCTCCCAACTGGACAGAAAGCGTTGAGCTGGAAAAATGGGACACATTTAAGGAAATCTGGATTGTGATAGTCTTAGCTCATAGCAGTATTTCAGCATCAGTAGATCTGATTGCCCTACTTGCTATGAGGGAAAAAATACAATTATTCATTTTTCTAAAAGGCCTTTTTTCGTGCCACACAACTTTAAGTGCTAACTCTACAATCTTGTGCATGTTTCACAGTACTACAGTAATAAATATGACTGTTTATCAAGGCCAGAGGGAGATCCTGTCAAGCCCAACACAACAACAAAAACCTGGGTTTGTTGTTCTGCTGCAGTTACACCTCTTCCTCCAGACTCATTTGCTCTCCTCCTCCCCACCTCCCTTTGCTGGTAGTAAAACTAAACATATGCATGTTTATAAGTCACACCAAGATGTGCTTTTTATGCCTTTTTAGTCTGGCTGGTTATGCAGCTGATACTGCTCTGGGAAAATGTGTTAACCAGGTCCCTTCTGGGCCTGTCAGATGTAGAGCATCTCTCTGCCCGTCTGAGAGGTTGTAACTGCAAGTGAAACAGTCTGAGCTCAAGTCATGGAAGCTATTTCAGTGCAAGCTGCTCCCCTACTGGTGAACACTACATCTGTTCTGGTGATGTAAACCAGGTCTCACCAGCCCATGTCTGTTTTGTTTCTGCTTTTAATCAACAAAAAATTAAAACTGTCTGAACTCCTGCATTAGCTGTTCAGCCACATAATATAAAGTACAAAACAAAGTCTAATTAATTGTTTATTCATGTTTCAGCTTCAATCTGAAATGAATGTAAAACTGTTGGTAGGGAAAAAGTGGCTTATTAATTGGCCCCTGAAAGAATGTCAGATTTTTTTCTGTAGTCCATTGCATTAGTTTTCTCAGACACAAGTCCGAGAATGATCATGCCTTTGTCTAATCACACTGCAAATCATTGGCTGAAGGAACACATTTTTCTAAGCTTTGCAAGACAAGTTATTAGTGGACTGATCAAAAAATGTCTCAGAAATGTGTACAAAGGGCACTCCAGTGTCATATCTATACTGGAACAAAATTTTTAAAGTTCAAAGTGAGCTCTGAGTTCTGAAACTGAGCAAGACTAATTGATTTTTTTTTTTTTTTTGAGTGCACACTTTTTCAGCTTACAGTTAAAATATGTATTTGCTTAAGTATTTCAGAAAAAAAGCAACTTTCATGCACTCAGATACTCTTGCCAACAACACAACTTATAATGATAAAAGCTACAATTTTCCAAAAGTTATAATTATAAAATTTTATATCCAATATATAAAATTAGTATCTAAACAATTAAAATATGAATATGATATTGACTAGGAACTTATGTTTTATTATTTTACATATATATTTATATAAACACCAAAGTACAAAAGTTTTAACTTTTAAAAGAAGAAATCCAATATGTGTATATATATGTATGCATTAAAAACCCTCATTTGATCTTCAAGTCACCAAGGAATATAAGACCTCAATAGTAAGTAAAAAGGAACTTTCAGTTTGCCATGTTAACACCAATATAATAAATTCTAGAAAAACAAATTTATGTTTAACAAACCTTTGTGTGCTCCTCTGAAAAATTAATTACTACCTACTCAAAGAGGTGGTCGCCTGTTGAGCAACGAATAGTGAAATGGGGACACACTGTGGGGAAAGGAAAGAAATGCAATTTCTTGCACTGTTTGGAT